AGATAAGGTCACAAGGAATTGCTTCAGGGAAAAAAAAAAAGGGAAACAAAAAGGTAAGAGTGAAAAAGTAAAACAAACCAATGAGATAAAAAAAAGGATCAAGGCAAATGGGAGAAGTCAAAGCTCAACTTCCCACTAAACCCAGCTGAGTTGTTGGGAAAAGAGGGATCTTAAGCAAAGGCAGCTGCAGAGTTCAGTGACACCATGAAAGCAGAAGGTTCCCAGGGATGCCAACAAACAGAGCAGAGCAGCCTTGATACAAATTGAGAATAATTCAGCCTCTTCCCACACACTTCAGTCAGCAGATTTTCACCTTGCACAACAGAATCTGGACACTAGGGAAAGACACCTTAAAAAGAAATTAAGAAGAAAATGTTTTAAAAATCCCAAACATGCTGACCTTTTTCAAGTAGAAAGATTATTTAGGAATTTTTTTTCCTAAAATATTTGAAATTTTTTTTCCCCTCCAGTGTGATGGATCTGTAAGTCAGTGTACTTCTGTTTTATTAAGTCAGTGAAGAATTTGTCTACACTGGAAAATACAGTTCAACACTGACTAATTTTTGCTTGAGCAAACCATTGAGGCAGAAAATTAAATGATTGCACCTGTGATACCACAGGAGAACTATACCCCATCCTGCAGCAGTTCTATGTCCATACACTAGAATATTTATCAAGATGGCATAAATGTAAATAGCAAGGATGCTTATTTCAGATGGGAAAATGAAATGGATTTACAAATCTGATCCCAGAGCACTGAAAAAGCCTGAAAGCTTTCTCATAAATTTCCAAGATGTAACAAGAGATTTATGGAGACTGTGCCATAAATTTTAAATCAATTAAGGCTTTGCTCAGGAGCATGGGGAAAGATGGTGTAAGACCATACAATTTAATAAAGCATGAAAAAGATTAGAGACAGAAAAAAAGTACCATGTCCAAGGGAACAGTAACTTCACCTGAGGAGAGTGAATCCTGAGAAACTCTGGGAAATTAATTTAGAAAAATAGTGATGGCATTGGAAAGAGCAAATAAAAACTAGAAGATTTCAACAGAAAAAAAAAAAAAAAAAAAAAAAAAA